TAGGGAAAGGCATTCTGAAGAATATTGCGCGATGTATGATATTTGTGGAAAACGTACGGATGGAAAAGTCTTGAACTGCCCTCGTGGTTCCCCATCTGTTAAGGTACATAACATTTGTCTTTTTCAGTTAAAAACAAAAAAACAATTCTTACTTGCTCTAATTTTGATCGATGAAGTTTGTGAAGATATATGTCAATTTGTTTAATTTCCCGATTATCACAAATGCTATTCTCCAGCCAGATGATTTGCTTTCGTCTAAGATCCAAAGTTTGTGTCCAACAATTACTGGCAATGTTTGTTGTACAGAAGCTCAGTTCGATACGTTACGGACACAAGTCCAGCAAGTAAGATTCTCTGACTAACTCTCAAGTTTATAATACTAAATTCTGCTATTTGAACGTTTTTTTTCCGGCTCCGCCTGTTTCCATTCACATGGTATGTTCTGTTTTAGATGCTGAAGTTGTTTACCGTTGGATATTTTTGAGATGAATTAAAGTATTCTTTATTTTATTGATCTATACAAGATAATTCTTATCCTTTGTGTTCTGCTTGTCGCGAGGTCTTGTTACTAGTGTTTCTAATTCATAAAATACGTTCTGCAGGCGATTCCTTTCCTAGTAGGTTGTCCAGCGTGCTTGAGAAACTTCTTGAATTTGTTCTGTGAGCTTACCTGCTCTCCAAATCAGAGTTTATTTATCAACGTTAGTTCGGTATTGCAGGTCCGAAATTTCTTCTGATTTATTGTTTTGCCATTTTGAACCTGTGTATGTGTCACGCTATCGGCTGATATTGATTTTTTTTTTTTATGTAAATCATATATTGGAAAAACATTCCTTTTGTACAGATCACTTGCTACTGGAAGAAGATTTTCTGTGAAACCATACAAAATGATTTTGGATTTTATTTATTGCACTGTTAGAAATGAAAATGAATGTGGAGAATTTGGGGAATCACTTGAATTTTGTTTTTCAATTGTAGGATGCACATTCAAATTTTCAGTTTTGTTTTGTATGAAATCATGAATATTGGAGACTAATTATTATGGAATGTAGTAGCATGTGAATTTTATTTCAATAAGCATTTTCCCCTTTTTTCAGGTTAATAAAAATATGACCGTGAATGGAATTGACTTTTATATAAACGATGCTTTTGGTGAAGGGTTGTATGACTCCTGCAAGGACGTAAAGTTTGGTACCATGAATTCTCGAGCTCTAGAATTTATTGGTGCTGGTGCAAAAAACTTTCGAGGTAATTAAAACTCACTTACTGTGGTTGCTTCCTTCTCCCTCTATTTTTCTTCTCTCTTTCCCTCTCTTATGCTCCATTCACTATACTTCTTTCCTTTCTCATATCAAGTTCTTAACTTTTTATTCTTATTTTGCATCTTTTGATGCTTAACCTGTGAATTTTCCAGAATGGTTTGCTTTTATTGGCAGACGAGCACCCCTTAATGTGCCAGGTTCACCGTATGCAATAACATTTCGGTCAAGTATTCCAGAGACGTCTGGAGTAAAACCTATGAACGTATCTACTTATTCATGCGGTGATATATCTTTGGGCTGTTCATGTGGTGATTGTCCTTTATCTCCCGTCTGTGCTAATTCAGTTTCCCCTCCTTCCAATGAAGGGGGTTCCTGCTCAGTTCGAATTGGATCTCTTAAGGTGAGAGGTAGTGATCTGTAAATATTCTAGATATGGAAAATCCTTCTAGTTACATTATTTATTTTGCAAGTACTGTGGATGCTTTTGTTTACTGGACGTGTTTTATTTTACAAATGCAGGCTAAGTGCATTGACATCGCGGTAGCTATCCTATATATTGTTCTAGTTTCTGCATTTCTGGGATGGCGATTGTTTTATCTTAATAGACAAAAGGAAAACGTACCTTCTAGAGCAAAACCATTTTGGCATGCAATGGAAGGTGGCGAACTCCATTCTGTTAACCAGCAAAAGGAAGAGAATCTGTCAATTCAGGTGCATGCTGATATTTTATGAACCATGTGCTTAGTTATTTGGTTTTACTTAAGATGAGCTAACGGAATAAAATATGTTGATTAGATGCTTCAAGATGCTCCTCAGATTAGAAACGGAGTGCAACTGTCAATTGTTCAGGGTTACATGTCAAATTTCTACAGGTCACTGGCTGTGCCCTTAGTTCAGACAGAACGAATTTTACATGTCAAGCTTTTTAATCAGTTCCTCAGAATGGTTTCTTGACTTTATTTAATTTTATATTTTCCAGGATGTATGGAATATGGGTTGCAAAAAATCCAATTTTAGTGTTGTGCTCATCATTGGCGATAGTTTTTGTACTTTGTTTGGGTCTAATTCGTTTCAAAGTGGAGACGCGTCCTGAGAAGGTTTGTTTTAGTATAAGTGGTATTAATACTGTGAAATAGTGTTTCTTTATTCTTATTTTATAAGGCTTTTAGGTTAAGTTGTATGCTTGTTTAACTTTATTGTATGCACTGTTTCAGCTGTGGGTTGGTCCAGGGAGTAAAGCGGCCGGGGAGAAGCAGTTTTTTGACAACCATCTTGCCCCCTTTTACAGAATTGAACAGGTTCTACGAAACTAAGTTTTCTGTAATTTATTGGTTGCCCTAATTAGTTGTTTAATATATGGTTCCTTAGAAGATAACTTAAGCAAGTATTATTCTTCAATTTCTTTTTGCAGCAATATATTACGCAACTTAAAACTACTTGGACATGTTTGAGTTTTAACCCTACATTTTCTTTTTTTAGCTTGTATTAGCAACTATCCCTGATGTGGATGGCAAGTCGCCAAGTATTGTGACAGAGAACAACATCAAGTTACTTTTTGAAATACAGAAGAAGGTATTTGATTAACTATTATCTAATATCCGTTCTCGTGAGAAAATTGAATAGATTCCTTTGACTTCTTTTATTACATCTTCATGTTTTGTGTTAATTTGTTGAAAATTTTATAGATAAGTACTTATTCATTGCAGGTAGATGGAATTCATGCTAATTATTCTGGCTCAGTAGTTTCTCTTGCTGATATTTGCATGAAGCCATTGGACCAAGATTGTGCAACTCAAAGTGTTTTACAGGTGCTTATATGAGATTTGGAAAAAATTTATTATCCACATGTGTGGCATCGTGGTATTCTGCCAATGTTTCTTCCATTGGGTTTGCTAACTCGATTTTCATGTTTTTGCATCCCTGCTGTTGGGTAGATGTAAATTGGATTCGTCGTGTTGCCCACTGTATTTATGATTAATATAATCTTCTACATTATATACTTGGTGACAGTATTTCAAAATGGATCCTGACAACTATGACAATTATGGTGGAGTTGAACACCTCAAGTATTGCTTTGAGGTATGTCTTACAGTTCCGATCCCTCTTTTTGTCAGCAAATATGCTGATGTTTTGTTGAGAAGGTCACGTATTGATGTTTATGTGTTTTCGTACGCTCTAAGCACTATTCCTCTGCTGCCAAATGTATGAGTGCATTTAAAGCTCCTCTAGATCCCAGCACAGCTTTGGGAGGTTTCTCGGGTAACAACTATTCTGAGGTAATTATTCTCCCCTGGGTTAAATTTCAAATAAATGAAAGCAACTTACTTTATACTTGGAAATTAGATAGTTTTCTTCTGCATAGTTTTTCTTTCTTTTATGTTGTAATGATATTTTTTGAAGACAGGCATCAGCATTTATAATAACATATCCCGTAAACAATGCTGTTGATAAAAGAGGGAATGCCTCTGAAAAGGCCGTGGCTTGGGAAAAGGCCTTTATCCAGATGTCAAAGGTTCGTTTGTTTGTTCCTTTTTTTTTTGGGCTCGAGTCATTCGATTGATGATGTCTCCAAGATGTGATTACGGATTCAGGAACTTGCTTTATCATATTTTGTTTATGATAAGATGAGTTGTAATGGTGTAATTCTTTTCTTGTTATCTTTCTTACGGTAGGATGAGTTGCTGCAACTTGTGCAATCTAAAAATTTGACACTTTCTTTTTCATCCGAAAGTTCAATTGAAGAAGAATTAAAAAGAGAAAGCACTACCGATGCCATTACCATATTGGTGAGTTTTTCTTCTGCTTTGTTTTCTTAAGCGTGGACTTTGTTCGGGAATCGATTGTGTTACCCTTTTTTTTTTTTTTTTTGAATAACGCCCAAGTGATCTTTTGTTACTTCCTCTGTTGCAGATAAGCTACCTGGTGATGTTTGCTTATATTTCTCTTACTTTGGGTGACACACCTCATCTATCTTCCTTTTACATTTCATCTAAGGTATGGTCTCACTCACGGTTTTGGTTTTTAGTAGACAGCGTAATATATTTTTTGCCTATGTAAGTTTCTGTTGTTCTGGTGGTTTATTTGATTATCATTAAAATCATGAGACGGTTGTTTCCAGGTACTGCTTGGTCTATCAGGAGTTGTGCTTGTCATGCTTTCTGTTCTTGGGTCTGTTGGATTTTTCAGTGCTCTTGGAGTAAAATCCACTCTTATCATAATGGAAGTTATACCATTTCTTGTTCTAGCCGTAAGTTCTTTCCTTGGCATCCTTTTGATTTCTTGTGACTGCTCTTGATGCTATTATTGATTACCACGTCTTGTCGGGCAACCTACATATCCTTCTGGTCCACCATATTAGAAATTCCTTTGATTTAAGGAATTTCTAGATGAGACTAACTGTATTTGGTTCGTTGTTTTTGGAACTCATTAACTCGGCATGTTGATCATGAGCTATGAATGATTTAATGTTCTTACTTTTCAGAGCCATGGACATTTTTTTTTTTCACTATGACCTAGTTATAAATAATTGTTGTGCATTCAAATAGCGAACTGTGGTGTCACGCCTGTCTTCAGATCTAAGATGGCCTTAATGAAAAAAAAAAAAAAAAAAAACATTATTTATACCTGTTTAATACTATTTCGGTTTCCTTTACTTTCCAAATATTTGTTTTTTCTTGGTATTTTTGTTCCTGATTCCTGTTGTAGCTTGTAAAATTACGAAGTCTGTGATCATAACAGGTTGGGGTGGATAATATGTGTATACTAGTGCATGCTGTTAAACGGCAACCAATGGAATTGCCTTTAGAAGAGCGAATAAGTAATGCACTTGTGGAAGTTGGACCATCCATCACACTAGCTAGCCTATCAGAGGTTCTAGCATTTGCTGTTGGAACTTTTATCCCTATGCCAGCATGCCGTGTCTTCTCCATGTTTGCAGGTCAAAATTTTTATCTATTATAACTCTGTATAGTTTGTACCCTCACAAATAGATTTTTCCCACCATTTTTTTTTCCTGATCTTTGTTTGTTGTTTGTGTTTCTTTATTTGCATTCTCTTTGGCAGCACTAGCTGTTCTTCTGGATTTCCTCCTGCAAGTTACTGCATTTGTTGCTTTGATAGCTTTTGACTTTTTGCGAGCTGAGGATAAGAGAGTAGATTGCTTCCCATGCATAAAAGTCCCATCATATGCCAACTCCGATAAAGGTATCATCACCATCATCACTGCTTTGCAGCCTGTGCAATAGTTTTAGATGATTTCTGATTCAAGAATGCTTTGGGAATTTCAGGTGTTGGTGAAAGAAAATCTGGTTTGCTGGCGCGGTATATGAAGGTGATTGCTATTTCAAGTTGACATAGTTTTTCAACTGTGCAATATATTTATAACTAGTATTACGACCATTGTGGTGCTATCTAAGTCAAGCGATCTTCTTCTCTTTTTTTTTTTTTTTTTTTTTTCTCCTCACCTTAATTCTAATCCTGCTGTTTTGCCCTTTAATTTTTCAGGAGATCCATGCACCAATTCTCAGTCTATGGGGAGTCAAGATAGTTGTCATTTCCGTTTTTGTTGCCTTTACACTGGCTAGCATAGTGAGTTATTCTGTGTTCGTTTGTATGTTCTCATTGAGAAATATCAAAATTTTTTTTCTGCGCGTGTTAAATTAACTTCTGATTTCCGTAACAGGCACTATGCACTAGGATTGAACCTGGTTTGGAACAAAAGATTGTCCTCCCCCAAGATTCTTATCTTCAGGTCTGACTTATGCCTTTTATTCTATGGAGCATGAAAGTCGACAGACATTTTATCTTTCTACGTCTTAGTGCTGTATTTTGTTCCTTGCAGGGGTATTTCAATAATGTTTCAGAATATCTCAGAATTGGACCTCCCTTGTACTTTGTCGTGAAGAACTACAACTACAGGTATTTATGCTTATTAGTTGTTGTCTTACTATTTCAACTTGTAAGTCGAGTTATCTGTAAATTATCTATGGAATTTTGAAGTTTCACTATTCTGTCACCTTACGTACTCAGTAAAGTTTCTTGGGAACAAATTTTTTTCCTTCTTTGGCATTATAACAAATTCTGATATGGACTATAACCTCTGCATGAAAGCTATTGTGTAAAAGTAACAAATTACTTCATTCTTAAGCGGATTGCCATTTTGCTGGTAAACAAATTATGTGGAATCTACAAGTATCATTTTAAATTATCTTTTCCACTTCAAAGATTTTCTTTATGCTGAAAGTTGCTCCATCCTCAGCTCAGAATCAAGACATACAAACCAGTTGTGCTCAATCAGCAGATGTGATTCCGACTCTCTGTTGAATGAGGTATATAACCTGTTCCGTTCTCTCTCTCTCTCTCTCTCTCTCTCTCTCTCTCTCTCTCTCTCTCTCTGTGCCTGTCTTTACAGGTAGGAAATTCGTTCTTGTTCTTTTAGCTAGTAACTCAACAGACCAATTCTATTTTTGAATCTTATTTAGATCATCATGTTACATATATTAGTTTACATGTATAAAGCTTAATATTATTCAAATGTTTGTTTGTAACATTTCACTGATGTAGATTATTAATTCATTTTCTTGCAAGAGAATTAACATGATAATGTTTCTCCGAGATCTTAAGCTGTTTATATTGAATGAAAAAGGGTTCATAAATTATATTTTGTTATCTGGCTGGTTCTCTCTTTCAGATAATGTTTTTTGTGTTTTTCCTTTCATAGATTTCAAAAGCATCTTCAACTCCGGAAACAAGTTACATAGCTAAGCCTGCCGCTTCATGGCTTGATGATTTTCTTGTGTGGATATCCCCAGAAGCATTTGGATGCTGTCGGAAGTTTACCAATGCGACTTATTGCCCTCCTGATGATCAGGTCATTAACAAAGCTTTACTCCAATAAAAAAAAAGCAACAGAACAAAAGAAAAAAAAAACAAATGAATAAAAACAAAGCTTTACTTGCCGATTGCTTTGTAGTCATTGTGAGGAGATTATAGTACTTTCGAAAGCAACACAGTGTTGGGAAATAAATCGCCTTTGCCAGTCATTTTCTGCAATCCCATTTGCACTGATTTATTTGTTTTTACATTCAGCCTCCTTGCTGTTCCTCCAATGATGGTTCTTGTAGCCTGGGTGGAGTCTGCAAAGATTGTACCACGGTAATTATAGTTAAATGTTTTGAATAAAATGCCACGAGAATAGAATAAATATATTCCGCGCACCTTATGTGAACTATGAAATTGCAGTGTTTCCGCCACTCAGATCTGCAGAATGACCGCCCATCTACCACACAATTCGAGGATAAACTTCCATGGTTCCTAAATGCTCTACCCTCTGCTGCCTGTGCTAAAGGTGGCCACGGGGCTTATACTAGCAGTGTGGAACTCAAAGGTTTGTAGGATTGGATACTTGTATGCATTGAGAAACAAAGATCCGCAAGTTTATTCTTATGTGTATTGTATTAGTTAAAGATTGAACTCAGAAATTTGATTACAAGTTTAAATTTTTAGTTAATATGTCTTTTGATCAACAGGCTATGAGAGTGGTATTATTCAAGCATCATCATTTCGTACATATCATACGCCTTTGAACAAGCAGGTATGAGGTGTTCTTGAATTGGATATTTGGGTGTTGTCTCCCTTATCCTGTATTAAAGGGAACCTGACTGTATGATTAATTGTGTTTATGTTTAGATTGACTATGTAAATTCACTGAGGGCTGCCCGAGAGTTCAGTTCAAGGGTTTCCGATTCTTTGAAGGTAATCTTTCAATTTTTGCTCGCTATATATATATATATATATATATATATGTACTTTTCTTTAAATAAAGAGTGTAAAATTGTTTTATCTTTCCTTTTCTCAGTGGATTATACACTGCGCTTCTTTTCAATTGCTGGTGCAGTTATGCTTAGTTCTAACAGTGTAACCACCACAGATCCGCTAGACATAAGAATATATAGAAATTTTCATTTATTCTCTTAAACTAATGTTTTGCTCTTTGTGTGCAGATTGAGATTTTTCCATATTCAGTGTTTTACATGTTCTTTGAACAATACCTTGATATTTGGAAGACAGCGTTAATCAATCTTTCCATCGCTATTGGTTAGTAGTTTCGAATTCAAGAACTCAAATAGCATGGTTGCACGTGTTTCTTCAACATTGGATTGTTATTTCGGTATTCTGTTTCCAGTCATAGTCAAATTAACTTATAAGCTTATTAAATTTCAAGTGGCCAAATAACTAACGTGTGCAATTTTTCCAAAAGGTTCTGTAGCTCGGCCAGTGAGATGTTTTATTTGTTCCCTTTAATTGCTAGTAGGTAGTTAGGCATTGTAATTTCAGCTTTTTAAAATTATTGAATTTTGTTTTTAATTATTTTGCTTACAATTTAACAGGTGCAGTGTTTATTGTTTGCTTAATTATCACATGCAGGTCAGTATGTGATGTATACTTGTAGCATATAGCATTCTTATCCTCTCCATACGATCGATACTGATTTTTTTTCCCCTGCTCTTTCTTCCAATTTGGTTGCAGTTTCTGGATTTCAGCAATCATTTTATTGGTGTTGGCAATGATTGTTGTGGATATCATGGTAGTCTTTCTTCCTTGGTTAACCATAAAACTCTATTTAAGGAGCAATGAACTCCTGTTAAGTTGTTAATCTCCTGATAAAATGACAATCTATGCAGGGTGTAATGGCGATTCTAGGGATCCAATTAAATGCAATCTCTGTTGTTAATCTTGTTATGTCCGTTGGAATTGGTGTAGAGTTTTGTGTTCATATGACCCATGCTTTCTCGGTCAGTATCCTTGTTTATTCTTTTGAGAATTTTAACAGCCTAGTGAAATTTGATTTGTGAAAATCTTATTAGGTAAAATGTCATTTCTGCCAATTTTAGGCATCTTCTCTGATTGTATTTTCCTAATACAATTCCTGTAACAGGTAAGCAGTGGAGATAAAGACCAACGCACTAAAGAGGCTCTAGGTACAATGGGAGCCTCCGTCTTCAGGTACTTGTCTTACCACCTAAGCCATTCAGATTCTGGGGTATCGCAAAAATGACTCGTTTCCCAGGAAAAGATAAAAGGAAAAAAAAAAAAAAAAAGAAAAAGAAAAAGAATCCGGGCCATTCAGATTCTGGGGTATCGCAAAAATGACTCGTTTCCCAGGAAAAGAAAAAAGGAAAAAAAAAAAAAAAAAAGAAAAAGAAAAAGAATCCGGTGGACAAGATTTCCCGTTCTTTCATGATGTGATTAATTAATGAGCCTCATTGAGCAGCTTCATTTAGATTCGAAGTGCAAACTGGGACGTCATCAGTCCCAGTTTTAAAATGTTCTTATGTGATGATTTTTATTTTCTTATGGAGTCATATCAGTGAAAAGTTTGTGTTTTAAAATGATAACAGCGGGATTACGCTAACGAAGCTTGTTGGGGTGATTGTCCTTTGCTTCTCAAGGACGGAGGTCTTTGTGGTATATTAAATATTGGCCCCTCCCTCTCCATATTCATACTTAGCGGCATGTATTGAACACGTCTTTTTGATTATCCTCCTCTGCTCTGTTTTGCAGGTATATTACTTCCAAATGTATTTAGCCTTGGTGCTTCTCGGTTTCTTGCATGGCCTTGTATTCCTACCAGTAAGTTAACACTGCCACTTGCCTACGCAAACGTAGACACTGAGACATAATTGAACTTTTAGAGATAGTTTTGTAGGAGGGAAAAGTTAAATAAATGATGGGGGTAGGGAGATTAGTAAAAGGATTTTCTTTAGGAAGGACTAGAAGAGAGAGATTCAAATCTCTTAAAAAAAAACTCGATGTCCCTCTCAAATTTAAACCGGTTCTTGGATGGAACTTCTTATTCGCTTAATTATATTGACACCAAATAATGATTAGACTGTGATACCAAATTATTTTGTGATCAATAATTATATGACACCAAACATTGATTTTTATTTTCTTTCCGTCCTTTCTTACCGAATGCTGTAAAAGAGAAAAGTCCTCTCCCTATGTCTTAATTTCCTTCAGGCTTCACCTACTCCCTCTTTATTTTCTCTCCCGCTTTGGTGTTAAGCAAGGGATGAACAGAAAATGAACGAATGTTGTTGGTTCCAGCTACCATTATGTTTGTTGGTTTTTTGAGCAAACTGAAGAATTTTCTTCCGTTTTTTCAGGTAGTATTAAGCATGTTTGGTCCACCTTCAAGATCTGTGCTCATAGAACAGCAAGAAGGTCGGCACTCCGTCTCATCGATACAACAATAAGCTGATCGAAGAGTTCTTTTTGTAGGGATAGCTCAACATGTAAATTATGACATTATGTAATGTTGTACTAATGTTGAAAGTAATCAGGGGAAGAAGGTATAGGTTTTTTTTTGTCTTGTTTTTTCTGTTTTTTGGCAAGCGCCTTGGTGGTCTGCTGCCTGCATTTTATGATCTCCACGGTGGTTATTTTCTTTCCCTTTACAATGTTTCACAATGTAATCTCAACGAAAAAAAAATGGGCAAACTGAGTTACATATGCGTAGAGTTTCACAAATTAAGAGGAAAAAGATAAAAACGACCACAATTTAAGTGGAAAAAGATAAAACGACAAATAATGTTGAAAACGGCAATAAACCACGACAGCCGTTACAAAACGCGAAACGACGTATATCACAGAAAGGAAGACAGGAGAAAGAAAAAACAAACCAAAGGGAAAATCACGAAACGACTATAAAAGGAAGAAAATGAGGATCAAACGCGATGGCGTGGAAGGGAAATGCGACTAACGGGGAAAACACAGAAACACGGAAAATGACAATGATTTGTTAAAGATATCGAAACACAAACAAGAAGGTGCGACAAATAGATAGTAGCATTAATATATTACTACAATAGTACTAATAGTAACTAGAAACGACAAAGAGACGACAATAGTACTAGAAACGTAAATGCTGGAGGAGGTATCTGTAACAAAAGAATATATAAACAAGTGACAACACAAGATAGAAACGACAATAACAGACAAATAATAAGGGGGGAAGATATAGAAAACGAGGACCTATAACCCGAGTAGGCGTTAAAGGTGGTGGGACATTGGTTTTCAACAAAACCCAAAGAAAAAACATCATTAACAAAAGAAAAAACGACAACCCATTTATAAACGACAATAACAATAAAGAGGAATCGCAAATTGAAGGATGACGGAAAAAATGACAAAAAATAAAGGATTTTAGCACACTTGCCTCCGATTTGTCGTGGTTTAGCAATTTACAATCTAAACTTTTGATTTTGACAATTAATCTCCTGAACTTGTAAATTATTACAATGTCCCCCATTTAACCAAATTTGTTTTTTTTTATTTAAGGGATTAAAAGTTGAGCAATTGAAAATTTTGTTACATTTAAATTCGGATGTTGGAAATTTTTTCTCGAATGTGCTTTTTCAAAATTAATTTAATACAATTATCATCAAAATAGGGTATATTGCAATAATTTTATAAGTTAAATTGAAATTAAAAGTTTAAGGGGCAAATTCTTAAAACTGTATGAGTTTAGAGGGAAAATGCGTAAAATACCCAAAAATAAAAGCAACATACATACATCTAGACGACGGCAAATAAAAGAGCGTATATAAATTAAACAACGACATTGATATGAGAAACGACAACAAGAAAAGTGCTATCATAAACAACGTACACAAGTTTAAACTACGACATCCCATAGAAAACAACGTTGGAATGAGAAACGACAATAAGAAAGGAACCGTCATTAATTGAAAACAACGGCCAAAAAAACGACAAGAAAATAACATGTTTGCAAACCACTATAAAACATACCATGTCACACGTAAATCTTAATGGGAGCAACAGTAATATTGATTTTTCAGTCGACGTTAGATACATTGTTATTTTCAAGGTCATGATTAAAAACTATTACACCTTTGCATTTTCTTGAACAAATCTGAGAATTTGTTCCCAAAAGCATCTTCAATTTCTCCCTCCTCTTATTCCAATTAATTGATTAATTTGTATGACCAATGCACTTTTTTTTTTTTCCTTATTTCTTTTCTCTATGGCTTGTTTCTAATGGCTTTATTGCTGGGACCAGTTAGAAAACTTTCAAATAGAAATCCTATATTTTTTATTTTCTTTCTAATTTAATTCTCACTTCTTGTTTATGTTCAGCTAATAAATATTTTTTGAAATTTAATATTGATGTTGGTTTTCACAAGAAAAATCGGGCGTTTGAAATAGCTTACCACCACAACTAGCCCAGTCACATCACTCAAAAAATTACAAAAATATGAATGTCCACTTCAGCCTATCAACATCCCTGAAAACGTCACAAATAATAAATTTCACTATCTTAAATATTCAACGTCTTCCATTCCAAAAGGTTGAACATTATTCTATCAAACATACAATTTACAGAGAGAGAAAGAGATAGCTGCTATGTAAACAAATCTAACAAAATCTACCAAAAAACTAAACTAAACTAAAAAGTGTCCAAAATAGACCAATTTCTTCACCCTTCTGCAAAGGGTCGTAAGGGGCCAACATTACCACCACCCAAATAACCTCTTGAGAGATGACGAGAGACTTGGAGAGAGAGCTTTATTGTGTTGTTTTGAGAAGAACGACAAACCTCAAAACACTCCTCCAAATCAGCATCACAAGTCAACAAAACCCACTCAGAGTCATCATCCAAATACTTTATGGTGAACAATCCCATGTCTTCTATGCCAAACCTGCTTCCAATCTCTTGCTGCAAGTTCTTGAAACCCCAGTTCGTTTGCATCCGAAATCGCGTTTTCTCATCTCCATACGTGACTTTCACCCTTTGAAAATCACCTCCTAGTTCTCGACATAATCTTCCACAAGTGTTTTTCGACAAAGGAGTAGTGATGATGTTATTGTTCTTCCCTGTCTTACTATGCTCAATGAGAGATTTTTGGCTCTGAGATCTTGGCATGAGTTTTTTGTCATCTTCAAGAGTGCAGGTATTGTTAAGCCCCGCTTCGCTTCTGACCCTTTTGAGAACAACGTCATTGGAATTGTTCTCTCCGGCCATTATTTCTTTACTTGATGCGACATTGTTATTATTATTGTTATTCCTGCTGGTGCAGCATTGGCTCGAGCTCGAGCTCTGGCTGCAAGAGGACGAAGATTTAGAAGCATCCAACCCGGTGCCTCCTCCGGTTTGTTGCATTTGTGATGATGATGGCTTTGGAAATCCGTGGCTCAGCTTTGAGGCTGAGAATGGGCTGGTTCCTGATACGTTTGGAGAAGCTAGCTCCGGGAAGTTCGTGTAGAACGAATCGATTTGGAATGCACCAGATGCACCCTGGACAGAGTCGATCACAAGTTGGAGCTTCTGTAGGGAGTGACCTACCTTCTTGATCTTTCGTGAAGGCCAGCGTTTGATCCCGTGTTGTCGGCATATCCTTTTCAGCGTCGTGGAACAAACTAACAAATAGACAAAGAAAGAAAGAAACATGGTGAAAACAAAGAGCTTTAATGTATATAAACTTAACATTAGCAGAGAATATGTATTGATACTACGCTCTTCTGATTGCCATATCACATTAGGATCATACAAAAAAGTATCACATCACCCATTAAAAAAAATTGTAAATATGATATTCAGAACTTTACAGAACCGGCAAAGTAAAAACAAAACTCTCTCTTATTTTTTTATTTTTTATTTTTATTTTTATTTTTTTTTAGCACTATCCATATAAACGACTAAAACAAAATCTGGATCTCCCGAGGCCTGCCTTCACAGGTGACTTTCCTTTTTAATTTAACGCTCTTTGAACAATTCTTCCGGAAGAGCATGCTACATCAAATAACCTTTTAACATTATTATCACTTATGCTCCTGAACTTTAAAGTTATTTCCAGTTTGTCTCCTAACTTTAAAAACTCACATTCTCCCCTGATTTTTTAATTATTCCCAATTAACTCCTTCAGTTGTAATTTCTGTAAAAATCGGATTAAAAAAAAAAAAAGAGAGTGATGCAATCACATGGTCAAACTGATTGAATTTATACTAAAATCAAATAAATTAAAACCACATGGCCACACTCACATCCCTCTTTTTTCCTCTGATTTTAACAAAAAATCTATAAAATAAATTAAATGGGATAAATTCAAAATTCAAGGGGTAAAGAGAGAGTTTTCAAAGTATAGGGGGCACCGGTGAGATTAGTCCAAACTTTTATTTTTACCTCCAATGCTCTTTGCAGCATCTTTTAGGCTGCCAGCAAAATACTGACGAAGAACTTGTAAAGTGATGGTTTTCTCTGCCTTGGTACGTCTTCTTTCACCCGATTTACCAGCACCAACGCTTGAGAAGCTTCCTTCACCAATGGTGGAACACTCTTCAACGCACTCAACACTTGGTTTTAGGCTTGAATTTGTGACTCTTCCATTTGAAGCTTCCCTTGGTTTTTCCCCTGGAATTGGCGAGACATCAGTAGTTGTACCGCCCTGTTGAATCTCCACGAGAGAAGCAATCCCAGTAGTTGGCCTAGCATTCGATGAAGGTACCACAACTTCGCTGACTGGAAAATCAATTTCCTCCTCGAGCTCCTTGTCTGTGACAACCCGCAGGCTCTGGCAACATTGTTGGATGATCAAAGAAAGCGAAGTCAGCATCTTCTTCTGATCTTCTGGATCAGTGCAATCGACAGGCAAGAAGAACTCCAAGACAAAGTCAGCCGTGCCGGTGTGGATGCTCCGCAGGCGTATGGCCACAGCAGCGTGCAACCCGAACATCCTCGCGTGGTGAGACAGGGGATAATCTGTCTTGGTAAAGGAAGTTATGTCGGCTGAGAAGCACGGTTGGTTGGTCATGAAGGCTCCGCCGACGACTCCTTGGCCTTTGAACAGGTGGTGCTCGGAGCATGCCTCGTGGAAGCCCTGGATGTGGGGATCAGCGACATAGCAAGCATAATCCACCGTGGAAACGCATTGAACGTAGTTTTCGTTGGAGTGTCGACACCCTTCTTTACGCTGATAGATACAAGGAACCCAAGTTTGTGCCAAGGGTAATCTGTGTGTCTCACAGGCAGTTCTCAAGACCTCTTGAATCTCAGGCAATGCAGCTTGGTAGTACTCGTTGTATACCTGCTAAGAAATCAATCTGATTATGAGCTCAAAAGAAGAAAACCGCTATCTTCCACTATTGGTGATGCAATCATCACATATGTGAGAACATATCAGAATTGTGGGACCGAACTGCCGTACTTTTTACCATGTGATTCCTCGGTTGCATTGCCACATGTGTGGTGATGCATCACCAGTGGTGATAAATAGCAATGCTCTTAAAAGAAGCATTGGATGAGAGTTCAATTTATAACTTTTGCTTGAAAAGACAATATACAGTTACCGTCACATTCTGAGTGCTCAAAACTTCCGAACTCTTGAAATCAAAAGCCTGCAAATTTTCCCAAAATTGAACAAATATCATTCCCCCATCTGTCATAACAATAACTTATATGGAGAGGAAAAAATGGAGATCCTTAATAAATCAAATTGAGAACTTAACATTTATGATCACAATAATCAAGTTCAATCATCAGAAATGAAGCAGAAAAATCTCACATCACACCAACCTAATGAGTCCTTATTTATTATGGAAGAATATGGACGTGAAATTTCATTGGTCAAGTTATTCCAGTACTGTTTTTGTCAACTCTCATAACAAAATCAACAGTAATTCCCAGTACAATCGTACTACACACAAAATCAGATGAAAATTGTTGAAAATAAAATAATGTAAAAATGGGAATTGTACCTCAAGTGCCTTACAAACACTTTCAAGCTCAGGACGGTACTTAATATTCTGAGTGGTCATGACAACTTCAACCACACCAAGGCAATTCCTGCTACCTCGCTCAAACACAGGAAGTGCAAGAGTCCCACACACATCATATAGCTTAGCATGCATAAGCCGCGGGTACTCATCTTTCCTAAAGAACCGAACATCCGGTGTCCACTCTGGAACCTTGCCGGAGAACACCCTCCCGGGCAATCCCATAACCATTTCCTTAGTACAATCCTCTTTCTCAACTGAGAACTGATACTTTACAGAAATGTCCCTATATCTTGCAAGCTTAGAACAGCTATCATCAAGTGCAAAAGGCAGATCTCTAGTTATGAGAACACGCCTACCTTCTCTATGTACAGGAACCCAAATCTGAACAAGAACATCCTTATCTCTAATCACATCGTTGATGGACACAAGTGCTTTGTATAGCCTCTCCACCACTGAAGATGAAGGACCCAGATTAGACTTTGGTCCAGTCCACAACCTTCTGCTGCTGAGTTCATCTGATCCACCACCGGAATATACACCAACATCATCAGTCATAATCTCCAAAGCATAAAATTTTTCTTCGGGTGCGGCAAAAACTGACCTGTGCCTGTCTTCTTGATTGGTCTTGTTCTGAGATGGGGTGGTGTTGAATTGGCCATTGTTGGTGTCAAAACTTGGCCAACCCAATAGAGGGTCCAAAAAGGGATTAGTGGAACTAGGTGGAACAGTAATAGTATTGCTAGGACTATTTTGGTTAAGGATAAATTCAGATCCATAATCTCTGGTTTCCAACCAACATCCATCTAAGAAGAGTTCATCCATGAAGTCTAAATCCATGGCTGCTGCTGCTGAATCTGATGGAGCTCCCAACATAGTGGCTGGTGATAAAACCCCATCTTCCATGATGATTTTAATAACTTTTTAAAGGTGACCCTTTTCTTCTCTTTTTGGCTTCTGCAAAAAAATAGAAACAAAACCCCAAAAATGTATTAAGCAACAGCAGAAGATAGAGTCAAAGAACCCCACCACTATTAAGAAGAAGAAGAAGAAAGTTTGTGGAAGTGATTCTTCTTCAAATCCTAGTTCTATTATCCGAACTGCCAAAAGAATATTGAGCAGGAAGAATCTTTTTATGTTGCAAATTGGAAAAGAAGCAATCACAAGAGAAGAAACTTCACCAAATCAAAAGAGAGAAAATCCGCTCAAAATCAAATCGCCAAGCACTGAAGAGAAATAGAATAGAATCTCATTGAGGAACCTAAAACTTCCCCATTTCCATTAAAGTTGCAAAAATGGATTGATGATGCAAAACCAAAGGGAAGAGCTTTTTCTTGTTTTCCTTTCTTAAGTGAGAATAAAAAAATTAACCCACTTAGCCCACAGAAAGATTCTTCCGAGAAAGTCCTCGGTCAAAAACTCTCTCCTAGAGTTTCTGATTCCTGAAGAACATTATTCATCAATATAATACAAATGGGAAGATTTTTTTTTTTTTTAATATACCATAACATGATTCATATATAGCTTATCTGGTTTATGGCCCAGGACTCCAAACAATAGCAACCAGAAAAAAATACAATAAGAAAAAAAAATTAAAAAAGAATAAGAATAAGAATAACAACTACCAGGTGAAGATTCTTGGAGATACCCAAGTGGGTATTTTTATTTTTTTTTCCCTTTATGTATTTTTAATATGGATTTTCTGAAATACCCAAGCAAAGTGGTCTGAGAAACCAGGGACATGAAACAGCAACAACAAGAAACGACTAGAACAAAAAGCTAATAAGCTTTGAAGAGGCGGCTCCTCCAACAATTTACAGAGTTGTAAATCTCCAACAATCTGATTCTGGGCTTACTTTTGTTTTTTGTTTTTGCGCGTGTAAGATTCCACTCTTTCTTCTATATTCTTTCCTTAATATTAACGGTTAGAAAAAGATTCTGCGTCAATATGGAGGGGGTGGGGCCTACTTGGCCACAAATACGATCACTCTTTGGCCTTTGTAGTTCTCGCTGTAAAGTCAATCCACACACCGAGTCCGGAGAGAAGAGAGAGGAGGGAATCAAGAAGCCGATTCTCTTTGTTTTTTTTGTTTTGTTTTTTTTAAGGATTTCTCTTATTAGACCAAAGAAAAATGAGTTAATAAACTTTTATTTTCAACCGTTATACCTATATAAAAAATTATTTATATTACATATTTTTAATTTAAATTATTTTAATTAAATCTAACAGTTAAAAATTAATTTAGAGAACGTTTGGTTTATAAATTCAGAATCATGGTTCAGAATTATTTTCATTTTACGTATACTTTTTATGAAAAAAAAATACTGTAAAAAATTATAAATCATAATTTAAAATTAAAAATGAATATATAAAATAAACATACCCTTATTAATAAAGAGATTCTATAGAAAAAGTGCTTTTATTGTGATGCAATAATAGAGTGGTTTCTATTTTAGAAACGGAAATCCTTAGGAATCAGATGGATAATCTCAAAAGGGGAAATGGGTTTCCTTTTTTTAATTGTTTGTGCGTCGCACTTTGCTCACTTGAGATGCTCGCACACGGCTCTCTAAAAAATGTTAATAATGTTAATTTAATTTAAGAATTCTTTAAAGCATAAAAATTTGGAGTTTTTTACGGTTGCGTGTTTCTGTCAAAATCAAAATCTAAAAAATATATGCAGGTAGAATCTTGTGCATATTCACGGTCAAACTTCTATCGACATTGATATTCTTTTTCATTACTTATTATTAAAATTCTCTTAAAAACAAAACTAATTAAAAAAACTAAAGTAATACTCTTATCTTTTTAGCAAAAGAAAAAAAATAACCCAGCAATAAAAGAGATTTTCACCAAAACTAGTTAAATTTATAATATACTATAGCACTTTTTGTTCTAATTTGAGTTAAAAGTTTAGAATTGTGCATGTGATAAGTGATAATTTAACTGTCCTACGTATGCTGGCTGAAACTTCAAACTCTATCGAGTGTTTTATGTTGCGTTTAGAATAAGAGTTCATATTATGATTCGAATTGTGATTCGTGACTCGTTATAATTTTATTTATTTTGACTTAAGTTAAAATTGTCATTTGTCAATTACTTTTTACCGCCCAATAGAGTTCTACTGTTCTGAGAAGGAAAAGACACCACTAAATTTTTTTCTACCAAAATAATAATAATAATAATAGTAAAGATACCAAGCTTACAATAGTATATTTTTTTAAAAGAAAATTACATTTAGAAAGAGAATTTTTTCTGGTACGCCAACATACCGGTAGGTTAGGTTTTTTGTCTATTAAATCTACATAAAATCACGTAAAAGTTAAAAGAGACGCAGATCCAACGATTAGAAAAAACATAACCTACCGATACACTAGTATCAGAAAATCTCCCTTAAAGAAAACCTGATCATATTCTTAGCAAAAGCAAAAGTTTACGTAAATATTGAATACATTACACGAATACTTATTTAGTAATGCATTTTTTAGGGTTGGGTAATTCATTTTCATTATATAGCACATCAATATGAGACCGCGCAAGATGTATATTAAAGTTTTTTTAAAGAAAAAAAAAATCTGATAAGATTTCACCTTCAAAAAGGTTCTATTACATCATATATATTTGGAATAAATCTATGAATGGTCCTTAAAATATATGTTATATCATATATATTTACACTCATTAAGCTTCTATATAACCCCATAGGAGCAAAAATATTTTTGTTTTTTATTACAATACATAAAATAATATATATATATCACAATCGTACTATATACTTTGGTGTATAATGAATTACAGTTTACAGTTAATTACTTTTATTCTTTCTTTAGGGATTTTTTATTTTTGCTTGCTTGTATTTTTATTGATGATATAATAATAGTTTAGGAAATGGAAAATTGCCTATAACTCCTCAACAGTATTTCTTATAAAATAAAAAGTTGAGAAATTTAGTTAGGATTTATGTGTACAGTGCATATATAAAATTGTTTGTTTTTTTAATTAATTATATTTTCTTTAAGATAGAATATATAATGTTGACATTAATTTAAATATGTGTGCATGTTTTAAATTGTTTAATGAATGCACATACCCTCACTAGTTTATGTGTATCTTCGTTCGTGGTTACAATGAGTGTGATACAAAAGATGTTTATAAAAATATATTTTTAGAGATAATTATCAGAGAATAATAATTTTAGAACATTTATTAATATAGTACGACAATTATAATAACTCAAAAAAAAAATTATCAAAATTATATATGTGAATAAATAGATAAAAATTGAAAAATGTATGTAGCAAAAGAACTAATTTTGGCATTTTTTTTTTTAGTTTAGGAACTACTAACTTCTCATATTTAATATTTTTCAACTATTTATTTAACAAAGGAATTACTTTTGTCTTTTTTTTTTTAGTTTAGGGACTAAATTTAATACATCTTTTAACACAAGGACCATTTATGGAGAGAAAATAGTTTGGGGACCTTTTATGAGACAAAATTAACGGTTTCTATCTAAAATTTAACAAGAAGAATCATTTATGAGATTTTTTTAGAGTTCAATAACTGTTTATAAAATAAAATTGACTACAAGGACTAATTATTCATAAATTTATTCCTATATATTAACGACATTGGTAAATATATATTGCTATTATTTCATTTGTTTAGGGATATATTGATGTACTTATACTTCATTGTACAAATCATTCGATCATGTAAGGTATATAATCAATTAGGTGCCTTCTTTTTTGTAAAAAGAAAATAAGTTGTATTGTAAATCTGTTTTAATAATCAATCTCTCATTTTATGCGACATGCAATATATTTGTAAAATCTCCTATCAACAAATATATTTGTAAATCTGTGTATGTGCTATATATATGTATATATGTATAAAGGTCGATGTATATGCATATTGAAGATTACAGCATCACTTTGGAACACAAAACAAAAAAACAAAAAACAAAACCGTAGTCGATAATGGAGAAAACTTTTGCTTGCCATTAAAGTATTAGATTTGGAGGTATTCCCCAAAGTTAAATATTAATTTATAGAATGCATAAATTATGCATCTTATATTGTGGGGTTTATGGGAATCTACTCGAATCTCCACCCCGCATGTGACCAATGGATGAACTCACACTTGTCGTGTTCTTATTTTTCTTGATTCTATTTCCCATGTTAATTCTTAAAATATTGATGTGCATAGCATATAATTGTAAGAGGTAGAACTACAATACATCATCTAATATTTTGGACTATATAGTATTTCTATATATATATATATATATCTTTGATTAGCTATTAAACTGTTAAAAAAGTTTACATAAATATCAAATATATTATGAAGACTTACGGTCCGTTTGGTAAGGGGATTCGAACCATAATTTGAATCATGGTTCATGATTCGCTACAGTGTTCTCTCTCATAAAAAACACAAGTAAATCGATAATGACTCTGAATCATGGTTTTGAATCCAAGAAGTTAGTGCTAATGCATTTTTTTTAGGGTTTGGTATTTTATTAGTTCAATATGAGAATGCACCGGAAGTATACTAAATTTTTGTAGGTTAAAATTGAAAAAGAATTAGTCTTAAAAGATAATCCGCCCAATCACGGAGGTCTTTACGGTTAAAAACAAAATCTCTCTCTCAATATATTAGATAATATTTGAGACATAGAAAAAAATATTGAAAAAAGAATAAAGTTTATGAGAATTACGCAATGGAATTTCATTCTTTTCGATTAGAATTGTAGGTTTTTATTGTTCTGATATGATTAATATTATATTTACGTAATTTTCTCTAAACAAAACCCTGCGTACATTATATCGCAAACAATAAAAGCTGATAATTAGCGGGAAATATTTTATTCAACATATGTGAATCCCCCATCAATTACAAACCATACATAATTCCCTAGGAAAAACATACCATATATATTCTAATATTTGTGTCAATTTTCCAAGTGGGTATCTCTTAATTTTTGTAAATTATCCGACTGTTGCTAGGCTGTTTTTTTTTTTTTAATGTAATATAAAAGCATTTATACGTGCTTACGTTATAAGACAGAATTTTCTACGTGATTCTTTAAATATATATTTAATCTACAGGGTTTAGCTCTTAAATCAGCTTAAACAGCCCCACCATCATAATTAAATCAAAGTTGACAAAACCAAGTTGGGAGTTTCCTTAGTTCCTTTTCGTGGAAATTGACTGCTCTTGCACGTTACGTATTACAAGTTGCGTATTTTTTAAATGTAAAAAAAATGCGGACCTAAATGTAAAAAAAATGCGGACCTAACTAAAGTGGGACAAAGAATCAATCACATCTATATGATTTTACAAAAATACCCCCTTTTCGAACCGGGAGTGTGCTAGCCGCGCTTGCTGATTGGTCGAGGGTAATGTCAAATCCGTCATCTTGCAAGCCCAAAACAGGCAAGTACAAACTCCGTATCCAAATCCCCCAAATAAATAAAAAAACGTCAATTACAAATCAGCCTTCAAGTTGTCTTAATATTGTCTAAGATGTTGTTCATTTTATTAATTTGAGTTTAAAATTTAAGTTTTATTACAATAAAAAATTTAAAAAATACTCACATTCAACCACATCTAAATTCGAATTAAAAATTTAAATTAATAAACTAAACGGACCCTAAAAATTCAAATAAATTTGGTATTTTTGGCTGGCTAAACTTCCTATACATTTCCCAATATTCTAAATCTCCATATTCGGACTACTCAAAAACCAATAGACATAAATTATTTTTAGGACTTTTTTTTTTTTTTTTTTTTTTTTTTTTTTTTTTTTTTTGAGAATATTAGTGTTTCTAATTTATTAATCGAATATATATTAAATCTAATAAAAAATTATATCAGATTAAAAAATAATATAGTTCTAACAATTAATAAACAACGAACACCGATGTTTATAAAAAAATAAAATAAAACACAAGAGAAATTCCCTTATTCTTATTAAAGGAAAATAACAA